CTCTCTCTCTCTCTCTCTCTCTCTCTCTCTCTCTCTCTCTCTCTCATAAATAAAAAATAAAAAAATGAAAAAAAAATAAAAATATAAGTAACAGAAGTTATTTTTTAATGTCTTAGATTACCAATAGGGATTCTAATATTTTAAACACACTACAAATAGGCCAATCACAACACATACAAGCAAGATGGCAAAGACAATATTAGCCTGTGTTCTATTCCTAGCACAAGGCAAAGACAATATTAGCCTGTGGTCTATTCCTAGCACAAGTGAAACAACAAAGTAACATGATCCACCTCACTAATTAAAAAAAAAAAAATAACAAAAATGTAAAACTACTGAGAGCATCCTTTGGTCAACGAATTGACACAGATAAAAAGAACCTTGTTAAAAAGCACCAGTGCCGCCGAAGTCCAAGTCCTGCCCTGCAGTCGCAAAGCTGCGCGCAGCCACTCAGTTCCCAGCAGTAGCACAGTGCGGACAACAGCACACGTCACTGGAATCACGGCCCTGGCCTCCTCAGTGCTGCCCTGGTGCAGAGCCTGTCCCACCCAGACTCCAGCTGCGCAGGGCAGCAGAAGAGCCTTCAAACCCAGGCAGTTCCCACCCCTGAAATCCTGCGATCTCTCCACCTGTTCTTAGAATAAAGTCCACACTTCATGTTTAACATGGCCTACAAGCCTTTTCTTCTCAGGATAGTTGAGCCCCCCCCCCCACTACATACTATACTTTACCCCAATCTACTTTCAGTGGCTAATTTCCTTGGGGCTTTTGCACTTGATCTTAGCCAAAAGGCCAAGAAATGATGCCTGGGGTCCTTGAACATGCTGCTCCCCCTACCTGGATTACTGTCATTCCATAATTCACATGAGTTTTGTTCACTCTCCACTTTCAGGTCCTCTCTCTTATTCTGCCTCTTCAACAAGCCTTCTCTGTCCATCTTTCTTGTTTTAGTGTTCTGTGCTACTGTAACAGGATATTAGAGACTGGTTTATTTATAAAAAACAGAAATTCATTTTCTTATCACCTAGAGTCTGGAAAGCCCATGTGGCGAGGTCCCTCGTGCTGCATCAATCTAGGAAAGCAGAGCACAGGGGCTGCATGTCCCACTCTCCCGTACAGAGCCCACACCGATGGCAACTGCACTCAGGAGGCTGCTCTCATGGTTTGATCACCTCTGGAAGGTCCCGCTTCTCCAGCCTGGTGCATTAAGTTCCCAACACATAGACTTTGGGGGACACATTCAAACCACCGCGCTAGGCTGGGATGTAGCTCTGTAGCAGAGAGCTTGCCACAAGTGCATGAGGTCCTAAATTCAATCCCCAGCACCACCACACCCGCCACAAGATAAAACATTAAAAATAAACCTCAAGCCATTGTACTTTGTTAACATCTTTTGTCAACACCCTTTCAGTTGTACCTCAAGCTCCCCACACTGCGATTCTCATCTCTGCATCCCAGGCACACAGAAGGTGCTCAGCATCACAGGTTGCTCCAGGAAGGAAAGACAGACGCCATAAAAGAAAAAGAAAACCACACACACAGAGGTCAACTACATCTGACACCAAGAACATACTTCTTAATTTTAGATTCTTCACGGTGACACTGACCATGTAAGTCCCTCTAACGCTCACTTTTTCCCTATGTAAAAAAGAACACATCCATAAACTGTTTAAAGAGTTCATCCTAAGAAAATGAAATTTAAAAAGTAAGTAATCTAAAAAAATACAGCTCGGATTTTTTAGATACGGAAATATATTTTCTTTAATCATACAAATTCTTAGGAGGACAACAGCAGTGAGTTCCATGGTCCACTTAAAAGATTTTCTTAAATACACATAAGCTAATCAGCCATCTAATTGCTCTGCATAATGTGATAAAAGCTGTTCAAACACAACTGATGATATGCACCATGATAAAAGAAAAATACTTGATTTTTTTTCCAATTGTATACAGTCATCTTCCACCTAAAAGTAAGTTCTTTTTTTGTTTTCAAAGCTACCAAAATCCTGTTGAACAGTAGATCCAATCAGGTTATTAAGAGGCTCATGGCAGGAAACACAGCCCCAAAACAGGCCCTTAGAGATGTTTCACAATAGCTTCTAAAAGTAGGAGCATTTCTACGTTCTTTATGGATGAGTTGTGCATGAGTGTGTAGCAATGGCTGCGACACAACTGAGATGCTAAGGGAATCCAGGCACTCCTGAGTCAACAGTACCAAGATGGCCTGTCCCTAATTATTCCGTACCTAATAGTCCTGGGCCCTAAAATAGAACTGTAGGTGTCACTGTCCTAAATACCTTTTTTCTACACCCAAATCACATACTTGTTGATTTTTCAAAATTTTCAGTGCATTAATACCTTAACCAGTAGACAAAAAGTCCCGTCTCATGTACCATGAGAACCTTGTTATCATAATGCAAGAAGGAGACATAGCTCATTAAAAGCATTTCAGAATCTTGTCAAATGCTCTAAAGACATAAACTGGGAAATCAAACAATTTACATGTCAAATATCATGAGCTTTTTTTTCAGTATGAAAGAGAAACAAGGAGCAAGGAAAATATGGACTGAATCTGGAAAAGCACAAAATATCAGGTATGAATATCAAACCCTGAAACATTACTAGGAACAGTAGTCATGCACTATACCTGGAAGAAAAGACCGTTGGTAAGAGAAGGCAGAATTTAGCACCTACAAATACCCAATAATAGCTTTTCAAATTACACTGGAAATTACTTTCTTACCATAAAATGAGTGGCAACTCCAGATATATATTCCATGTCTTGATGGTGTGCCACTCCTGTGACAGAGGAATCACACGTTACGCTTAATAAAAGTTTCACAACCACAAATAAGTTCTGTTTTTATACAGCTAAGCATACGTTCTAGAGAGGTCCTGCTATTAAAGGAACTTGATGATCAGCGTTCAGAGAACAGACTATCAAAACACTCCGGCAAGGCTTGTGCCACATCCATTTCTAAAGGCACAGCTCAAATTTATCTTCTATTTATAAACCTAATGAGCTTTTCTCTTTGGTATAATGAGAAAGCCAGCATTAAGGAGCTAAGTCTGAAAAACACACATATTTATAAAAGCCATATCACTGAATCGAAATGAAAGCAAACATGCGCTAAGCACCAACTGTGCAGAAAGCATTGTTCTGGGCCCTGTGTGTCCAGGGACACGTACACCACGGTTCCTGCCTAAGTAGGCTAACATGTCCAAAATCAAATGCCTACTCTTCTTCAAACTGACTCCTCTCTGCATGCTTTCAGCTTAGCAAATCACATTTCCAGCTTGCTGCAAAGACTCCTAGCTGGCGAATGTGTGCACACAAGTACGCATCTCGCTACCCCTGGGTCTCTCATTCCCCCCACCCCCCTTCAGCACCTTGCAATCACTTCTGTGCTTGGTGTGAAACCTCACTCTACACAAACAACTGTGACTACAGCCCTGTGCAGTGGCCCATGCCTACAGCTCTTGGTCCTGGGGAGGTTGGGGAAGGAGTGCATGAGGTCCAGTTCCAGATCAACAGGGCAACATCAGAGGCCCTATTGCTAGGCAGACAGAAAACTCAGTAGCAAAACAAAACCTGCATCTACGATGTGGGCAAGGAAGCAGGAAGAAGTGAAGTGGGCACAGGTAACTGCCTGGCGTTGGGGGAGCAGGAGAGGGAGAGAAGGCTGGGTGGCTATGGGTGTGTGTGTGTGTGTGTGTGTGTGTGTGTGTGTGTGTGTGGAGATGAGAGCAACAGCCAGCCAGCCAAGCAGAGGTCATGGAATGAAATGTGCCAACATGTGAAATAGTAGGTAAGTATAACTAATACATGTTTGAATTAAATAAAAGCAAAAATTAGTTAACTACTCAACTATTACATCAGGAAGTCAATGTGACATTTTTACTAAAAATTTTAAATTCTATTTCTTGCTTACAGAAAAGACATGTTTAAAAATGTTTAGCTGGACATAGCAGCACATGCTTGCAATCCCAGTGCTCTGGGAGACTGAGGTGAGAGGACCACAATGATGAGCCTAACCTGGGTAACTTAAGCTACCTAGAGACCCTGTCTCTAAAGAAATAGGAAAAAAAGCTGTGAATGTGGTCCAATATAAAGGCCGTGGGTACAATCCCCAGTACCTTCTGCGCACACAAACAAAAACGTTCATGTCAGTCCCACTTGTAGAACAGAATACCAATAACTTCATGCTTCCTTACAACAGAAACCCATACCATCATTTCACAGACTGCAGGGTGTCTGTATATGATGGCAGGTCCGAGATACAGAAATATACATTTTTATTTTAAGATTATAGATAGATAGATAGATAGATAGATAGATAGATAGATAGATAGATATGGGTATATGCACAAATGTATATTTTATTCCTTCAGAAAAATATCAGGGAATTCAAGAGAAAAAGAGAAAGAAAAAAGGAAAACAAAGAAAAGATTATCTAAGAATCCTTAAGTCCAGAGGGATGCATATCACCTAAACATAAGCAGTTCCTCAGAAGCAGCTGTCAAGGCCAAGGCAGTCACGGGAAGTCACCCTCTCCTGCAGTCACCCCTTCCTGAGATTTCTTTTCCCTTCCCTCCCTCTTCGGAAACTTATATTGCTTAGGACTTGCCCTAACCGTACCAGCAATGTCGTCCTGGCAAGAGCAACTGAAAAGAAATCAAGGAGATAAGATCTGCGATCTGCGTCCATTCTGAGCCAGCTGCAGAGGGCACCTCTGTCCCAGGTCCTAGGGTGGAGCTCTGCACTTCTCCCAGTGCTGAGGCTCGCCTGCACAAGTGGCAACACATCCTGGGACAGTTCGCCTTCTTCTTCTAAAAGACACACCCACCCAAGCCCTATGACTACCACCAACATAGATGCTTCTCTTTCCATCTAAGATCTGAGTTGAAAAAGGGGCAGCCTACTAGAATATAACCTTCTGAGTCTTCTTTTTCTCCTAATGTTGCTAGCACTAAGGACATCACCAGCAGCAGAATACAGTCACAGAGACGGGTCTAACAAGTTGTGAGCAGGTTCCTGCAAGCCCAGACTAGAAGAAGATGTAGCAGACTGCATTCTCAGCTTGCCCCAGTCCCTGGGCACCTTGTCAGCCCACTGGAACCAGCAGAGAAACCTCCATGCTGTCACCTGCCTGCCTTCTGTGCAGAGGCTGTGCGGAGTTGGGTGTGGACCAGTCAAAGAGGATTTAGAACCGGTTCCCAAACATTATTTATCTCTATCCCAAATTACCACCTCCTGGCAACACCAACACTATATTTACTAATATCCTATTAAGATAATCACTGCTTTTAAGACTAAGTCTTGTTCTACGAAAGATTATCTATAAAAAGTTGTTGAATATACTGGCTATATGTTTTTTTAAACTAGTGGATGTTAAAACAAATACTGAGAATTTTCAAAGTACCTGAATTTTGAGGTATATGAGAAAACACTTGAAAAAACCATTCTTGAAAAAATGCCCAGTCATTACAAATAAACCCTGGGAATATGGCAGAAGTATGATAATGGCACCAATGGCCAACAGAACCTCTTGTATTAAACTGAAAAGGTAATTGTAGATGGAGAAGGAAGAAACAATATAAAAATATAGAAAACCTATATACAGGGCCAGCAAAATAGCTCAGTGGGTTAAAGCACCAGCAAGCAGGCGCAGGGGCCTGGGGTTCGATTCCCGGGCCTGCCATGCCAGCCCTGCCCCCAGGGCGCACTGTGACGGCAATTGAGACTGGGTGTGGTGGCATATTCCTGTAATTCCAGCTCTTGGGAGGCTGTAAGCAGGTGGATCATCACTACCAGTCTGATCTAGTAGTGAGATCCTGAACACCCTGTACACCTTTCCCTAAAATAATAATAATATAAAGAAAACCTATATATAAATCCTTTTGTGACTTTCCTCTCTATTTCATTTAGTTTGGGGCATTGCAGAGCCATATTTTGTTGTGAATTTGAATATTTAAAAGAAAATTTTAGTTTGGAATGATAAAAAATTTCTAGAGATGAACAGTGATAACTATTCAATACGGTCAATGTCACTAAATTGTGCACTTAAAAATGGTCAAATGGTATATTTTACAATAGTAAAATGTGTTTTTCTTTCTTCCCTCCCCCCCCCACCTGTTTTTATTTTCCCAGGACTAGTGGTTGAACTGAGAGCCTATGTGCTGAGCTGTATCTCAGCATCTTTTTTATTTTTTTAAATTTATCTGAGATAGTATCCTGCTAAACTGCTTAGTTGCTCATGCTGAACTTCATAAAGTCTTCTTGCCTCAGTCTCCCAGAGTACTGAGATTACAAGTACTACCCACCACATTTTTCATCTTAAAAAATCAACACTATATTCAGGAAATGAGCTGAGAAGAATTAAAAGCTGCCCAACAATGGAGAAGTTCTGAGAGGAATCTGCAAAGCCCTGGTCATTTCACACAATTACAAATTATCTTCTTGGAAATGTTCCAGGACATGGAAAAATGCATGTGGTTAACAATTTTTATTTATTTATTTTGTTACACTGGGGACCCGGAGGTTTTGCACTGAGCTACATCCTATTTGTTGTTGTTGTTTTGAGACAAGATCTCACCAAGTTGCTGAATTATGCAGACTGGGCTGAAGCCTCTAATTGTCCTGCCTCAGTTTCTCAGAGTACTGCGATGACGGGCATGTGCCACGATACACAGCTTCCTTAAAGCTAATTCTAACCAGTATATATTCAGTAAACGTGTGGCACAATCATGTTTCTGTGTTAACAGTGTCACAGATGTGTCTTAAAAATAAGAATTTAAGAGTGTGTGCTACACTGATAAAAGAGGCCCTGGTAACGGCAACTCAGCATCCTTGCATAGTCAGAATGCATCACAATGCACACATTAGGTCTGGGAGCAACAACAGACGGAAGCCCCACATATTTAAGGGGAAATTCCCTCTCCAGTGCCTGCCTGCACACCCTGGTGATACATAGAAACAGAAAAAAGCCAGTGAACTAACAGACTCAAGTTAGCAGACAGATCTAACTCCCCGTCCCCTTCAGAACAGGCCCTGAAGTAGTTGTGATCTTACAAATTCAACTTCACAGGCCTGTCACTCTGGGCTTCTAAATCTTATGAGCATCTGATTGTATCAAAGGAATCGCACATTATTAAAAACAGTACCACAGAATGCTGTCTGATGCAAGGAGACAGCAACTCGCTTTCTGTTTCTGTGAAACACCCAACAGTCAAAGTCTCTGTAACAAAGGCCAAGTTTTCAGAAGCAGGTAATTAATTTCAAGAATCAAACAACTGGGCCGGGAAGGTGGCTCAGTAGGATAAGCAAGGGCTTCCCTGGCAAGCGCAAGGGTCTGAGTTCAATTCCTGGTTCCACAAAAACTAAACCACACGAAAAAAAAAAGAATCAAACAACTACACAAACTACACAACTACACAATCTAAGAAAAAAGGAAAATGTTTTCTTAAAGAAATATATATTGGAATCTTTTGTTTAAAAGTCCTTTATAAAATTATCCAATTCTTTCAACAAACATTTTAGTGAGTATCTATTTTACAGTGGAGGGCTTAAGGGCTCAGAAATGAGTTATGTGAAATTAGGTCTTTGGACCAAAATTCTCAGCTTACCAGACCAGAATTTATCATTAAATTGTTTACATATAAAAAGAGGTGGACAATCCATATCTTCTTTTTTTAATCTTTTAAAGTTCAAAAAGTTGGTAGATAGCAGTGAAAAGTTTTAAAAGATTTCTGTTATATTTCATAGGAGTTTTACAGTTTATACACGGACTTCCTTTTAA